CATTCCAGGTTAATTCAACACGGTGAATATTGCTCCATGTTTATCTTTGTTGGCCCTTAAAGCTGTGCAACGATATTCAATTGGAATGTTTTTCTCTCTACACGAGCTTACTAGCACACCTGGGACTCAAGGATACTCACACGCAACGCCATTGGCCAAGAAACTCCTTTGTTGCAGTGTAATTTCAAGGACAAAAGCGATCATTTTCATTCAATCTCTCCTTTGCAAGATTTGATGACGTAACTCGGGGATCGCAGTACACCCAAGTGACGATAATTGAATGCGGTTCATAGATTGGACCCGAGCATTTCGTGGGCACTCGACTTGGGCTCGTGACAATTGCTAGCTCGAGAAGCATTCGGGTTGTGACCCGTGTCCAATCGCTGCAACGACGACAACAGCCGAGCCATAACAATGTCTGGAACTCAGCGCGTGTCCTGCGCTTTGCCAACCCCAGCGCGTGGCTATGATCAACACTGGCGGCATATAATCGGCTCCAGATCACGTGGCCGCTTGTTCTGGCTGCGAGTTGAGGGGGTGAACGCTGCTCGTTTTTCTTAAATTTTTTCTGGGACTTCTATTGCGTGGGGTGAAAAACGAACGCGTGTTTCATAGGTCATTAACGTTAGGGATCCGTTTTAAGCGGTATTTGTGCACAGTACAAATATTGTTGCACAGCTCCTTTAACCTCCTCCACCTGCTCTTGCCAGGCCTCCTCTAGCAGCCGTCCAAATATCCTTTACTCATCTAACCTAACAGCCCAGCCACTTGCCTTTTAAAACCTACCTCAAGATTTTCGAGTTTGACTCACTTCTCCCGTTACTGCCTGAGCTCATCGTTCAGCTTCTTGATTGATTCTTGATTGATTAATTCTCCTGTGATTTTCAGAAGTGTCATTCAAACACAAATAAAGTGACCAAGAAGTATCGTGTTAAAAAAAAAAAAAAATTAAAACGTTTGTGAACGCTTATTCGTCGAACTACGGCTCGAGCACAGCCCACTTCTTGCTCTCTTCTTTGAAATCCCCCTTTAGCTCCTCAAACTTTGCCGTTCACCCTCTTTCTACCTGCTTGATGTCGATGCTGATAGAACTTGCCTGTTGGGTGACACTAACGGCTGAAAGTTTGTCGTTATAACACTGGCTACGCTACATTGTCGTGGGCTGGTGCGAGAACGTCCATCGCGCCAATGGATGCCACATCGTCTCACTCAAATAGAAAAAAAAAGAAAAAAAAACGTACTACCCTTGAGCAGGTTCCAAAAGTGCTTAGTAGACACTCGAAAGTGGTCTACCATGCCTTCACCAAAATGACCGACGCCGGCAGGGTTTTTGGCACCCTGGTCGGAACAACGCCGGAAACAGAACCGCCGTGTGAGTCCCAGACTTGTACACGTTACTGACAAAAAGCAACCGATTACAATTACAATTATTCACTGTAAAAGTAACCGATTACAATTACAATTACAGCGTCAAAAATAAATCAAAAATTACTCTAAAGTAATCGATTACTTCCGACGTTACTTTTCATTCAACCTCTTTATTACATGGGCATAATCCTTGGGGTCGCGTGCTCAATTATTGCGAAAAAAAAAGCCTTGACTATTTTTGCTTAGAGCTGAATAAGTGGCGCTAACGCAACCAATCCCTCTCGTGAAAAAATAAAAATATATAGAACGAGCGCTGTTTAATATATTACTCGCAAGGGGCTCGATAAGGTCATTTTTCATACCCAAACGTAGTCTACGGTGTATAAAAGAAAACGTACCCAGGAAACGAAGCACAGTGAAGTGGCCTACTATCCCTCGAGGTCCCGCGCTTAGTGGTTTCGAGAAGAAAAAAAAAGACCGCTATCCAGAGCTGAGTGGCTCCAGCACATCTGAACCCCTCCCCCCCCCCCCCCCCCCCTCAAAAAAAAAAAAGAAAATAGAAAAATTGTGACCGGTAATTTTGTAATTCAGTGCAGCAAAAAAACAAAAGCCGTTTACAACTCTCTGTAATGCCGAATTAAAGCGCAGCTCTTGAGGAGGAGGAGGGAAAGGTACTGAGGGTCACGTGTTCTCGGGGAGGGGGGGCCGGGGTTACGTGACCAGGGGGAGGGGTCACGTGACCCCCCAGGTCACGTGACCCCCAGAGAAATTTGTCCGCTAGATTTAGCGGGGAAATGATCCTGCTAGATTTATGGGGGAAATTTTTCCGCTAGATTTAGCGGAGAAATGTTTCCCCTAGATTTACCGGGGAAATTTTTACGCTAGATTTAGCGGGGAAAATTTTCCGCTAGATTTAGCGGGGAAATATTTCCCCTAGATTTAGCAAGGAAAATTTTCCGCTAGATTTAGCGGGGAAATATTTCCGCTACATTTAGCGGGGAAATTTTTCCGCTAGACTTAGCAAGGAAATTTTTCCGCTAGATTTTGTGGGGAAATTTTTCCACTAGACTTAGCGGGGAATTTTTTTCGCTAGATTTAGCGGGGAAATTTTCGGCTAGATTTAGCGGGGACATTTTTGTGCTAAATCTAGCAGGAAAATTTTTCTGCTAGATTTAACAGGGAAATTTTTCCGCTAAATTTAGCGGGGAAATTTTTTCGCTGAATTTAGCAAATTTTTTCGCTAGATTTAACGGGAAAATAGGGAGTTTTCGTAGATCGGTTTCGCGATCCCGCAAAGCCCTCCGCAACCCGCTACGATAGCGGCAACTCCACAGTCAAGGCTATCGGCGCACAGGCGCTGTAGCAACTTCTTCGTTGCGGAACGCTTAGCGGAGGGGGCAGCGCGGTCTACGAAAACTCCCTAATGTTTCCGGTAGATTTAGAGGGGGCAATTTTCCGCTAGATTTAGCGGCGAAAATTTTCCGCTAGATATAGCGGGGAGATTCTTCCGCTAGATTTAGTGGGGAAATGTTTCCGCTAGATTTAGCGGGGAAATTTTTCCGCTAAATTTAGCGGGAAAATCTTCGCTAGATTTAGCGGGGAATTTTTTTCGCTAGATTTAGCGGGGAAATTTTTCCGCTAGACTTAGCGGTGATATTTACCCATAATGCACCGCGCGGTTACGCCGTCGGCGACGCCGCTGAAGCCGGAAACGGACGCCTAAGAGCTGTGCTCTAAAAGTAATTCAATTATAAGGATCGTTACTCCTTAAAGGAAGCAACTGAAGCGTTACAAAATTACAGTCAAATGTAATCGATTACAAGTAATCCATTACTTGCAACGCGTTACATACAAGTCTGGTGAGTCCCCACCCCAAAAAAGAGAAGGCGCGAAACCTCCTTTCCCAGATGTCCTCACCGGTTCCGAAAATATTGACCCCCGGACCCAGTGGCTCCCTTGCGGGAGAGTGCAGAGCGCGAACACAGAAAACATAAAAAACGACGGTCGATCTCTGCTCGAACTGTTGGGAACTGTCTGGATGGTAGTTGAGCATTCCTTCTCGCGGGCGTTGCAACGCTAGTTCGACGTTGAACATCCAAAGACATTTCCTCACTGTCTACTGTGTAAATGGCGTATTCTTAAATAGAAGACATATGAACAGCGTATGAAACTTGCAATTTTACAAGCCTGTGTTTCCACATTGCCTAGAGGAATGTGGCCGGCCGGCGGCCGGCCTCCGCGGAAGACAGCGGAGTGCCCTGCTTGTAAGAATGCACTGCGTGTACGAATGCTTTGGCATTCCTACACGTAAGCGGACTTAAGTGTCCTCATATCAATTTTTTTTGAAGATTCATTATAAAAACTCTGTTTTTAGTCAGGTGTGCATAAAAAAGGCTTATGTGATTGGGACAGATATATTTAACTCTACTCCTAACATACATTTTAGAGCGCAGCTCTTAGGCGCCCGTTTCCGGCATGAGCGGCGTCGGCGTCGCCGTCGGTGATTTCGCGAAAAAATTTCCCCGCTAAATCTAGCGGAAAAATTTTCCCGCTAAATCTAGCGGAAAACTTTCCCCGCTAAAGCTAGCGGAAAAATTTCCCCGCTAAATTTAGCTGGAAAATTCCCCCGATAAATCTAGCGGAAAAATTTCTCCGCTAAACCTAGCGGAAAAATTTCTCCGCTAAATCTAGCGGAAAAAATTTCCCCACTAAATCTAGCGGTAAAATTTCCCCGTTAAATCTAGCGGAAAAAATTTCCCCGCTAAATCTAGCAGAAAATTTTCTCTGGGTGTGACGTGACCGCCGTGGTCACGTGACCTTGTGGAGGGGGTCATGTGACCCCACTAAGGTCACGTGACCACCCCCACCTCGAGGTCACTTGCCCCCCCCCCCCCCCCCCCCAAAGAAAAACACGCGAACCTCAGTACCCTTCCCTCCTCCTCCTCAAGAGCTGCGCTCTAATTCGGCATTACAGGGAGTTGTTAACGGCTTTCATTTTTTACTGGTGCGTAACATTGCACCGTTCAATATTTACCCAAATATTTCTCAACCTTTATTATTATATTAATGCTAAAGACTGGCCTAAAACATTGCGGTTCGATGAACTGTTACATTAAAATCGTACCAAAAAAAGTACAAACTCTTACCTGACACATTAGGTAATTCTGTTCTAATCTACTGTAGCTTTCAGTTGATACAACGAGCTGTTCTCTATACTCCTCCGAGTATATTCCTCGAGTGCTAACTCTCGCTGCCGATTTAACTGCGTGACGTCGCATGTCGGGCGTCTCTTTAAATACTTATTCCAAGAAGTGTAATCAAAGAACACCTGTGATTATCAGAAGTGTCATTCAAACACAAATAAAGTGACCAAGAAGTATCGTGTTAAAAAAAGAAGAAATCAAAACGATTGTGAACGCTTATTCGTCGAACTACGGCTTTGAACGCGCCATGTAAAATAGAAAAGAGTTTGCAGATACAAGTCATTTTAAATAGAAAAAAGTTTATGATATATTTTAGATGATATACGTGATCAGTCAGAGCCACTGGTACGTACTGCGCTCCCTTAAAGAATGTGGTGCAGTAAAGTATTTGATGTCGTATTTAAACAGCACAAATTTATGTTTTTGCAGGACGACTGCACCTCTCTTTTTTCTTGCCATGTGCTTCTACCTGCTACCTCTCATCGCAAGTGGTCCATCTTCACCAGCAATGTACGAAAAGTTTTACTATGACATGAAGAACTACTGGTGGTCGCTTCTGCTTCAGGTCAGAAACTTCCAGCCCGAACTTACAGACGTAAGTAACGCGAATCGAGTATGGAGCGGCCACGTTTAAAAATATGTGTAATGTGCGTTCTTAGAACATACGCGGTAATGTAACTGCTGCTGAACTGATAAATTTTAAGCTATATTGTTTGTACTGTAAGCTGTTACTATACAATTGTTCGACTGGCAGAAACATGATCTTGACATGTTTTAGGGCATCCTTAGAAACACTTAAGTATCTGGAAAATGTATTCCTGGTTGCGAGCATGTCTGCAGCAGTTTCTACTGTAAAATGTAAAGCCTATATTTATTGTGCTTGGGAGAAGAGCGTGTTGGTTTAAGTCATGGATGAAGAAAGAATAAAACAATTAAAACAGGGACAACACAACGACATCTTTCAACTAGCAACACACGAGTAAACTTTCAACGGCGAGCAGCCGACTATACCCTTCTCCTGGGCATAGTCGGCTGCTCGCTGTTGAAACTTTACCCGTCTGTTGCTAGTTGAAAGATGTGGTTGTGTTGTCCATGTTTTAATTGTTTTATTCTTTTTTCATCCATGATATATTTATTGTGTTATCATTACATCAAAGAACATGTCTTCTTCTTTTAGGGGGGGGGGGGGGGGGGAATAAAGATATTCGATTCATTCTGTTCGGAATACTAAATCGTAACATTGGTTACGGAAATGTCAAATTTAATGTGTTATTCTTGCGAGCATGATACGAATAAAAAAACGGGAATACGTAGAAAAATCGCGTCTAAATCATGCCTTAGCCAGTTTTTAAAAGGAACTATATTTATAAGGTTAGTAAAAAACGATGTGCGCTTATTTTTAGGTAAACGTTACTTTCTCATTTATAGAACCTAACCATGTCCTGTACCTGCAATGGCAGCGAACACAGTCTTACTAGCTTCTGGGGGGTGCATCAAGATTATGAGGTCTGCTAGTTGGTAGAACATAGTCTGAATTAGATAGATCAACACAACAAGAAAACATGGAAGAGGAAGACAGGACAGAGCGCTACTATCAACTGACGTTTAGTGATCTGTTACGACGTTTAATGCTCTGCTACGCTTTCTCCCACGCCCTTTTTTTGACGCCGTCAATCAAGAAACACTTGTAGACGTCCGGTGGATTTGTTGCAACCAGAAGTTCTGGAACGCACTTCCTCACACTTCCCTTCTCTGCCTGGGCAGAAGCATCTTCGGTTGGCTTCAGCATTATCTGGCCGTCCACCACAAAGGCGCTCATTGCACTATGGCCGAGGCTCATCCATCTAAGAGAAGCCCTGGCACCGCACTAGATTGCAATTGAGCCACCGTACAGGACCCTGCTCCAGAATGATAACTAGGGGCTCTGTAGGGCGCTTCGGCGCGGTACTAGAATCATCCGGAGAATCTCCAGTTCTATCTCTTATTATGTATAAAAAGGGGCTTTCAATAAAATGGACCCCGACAAAGAGCAACCCTGCCGACCTGCTATCGCGCCTTTCGCGAACGTAACTGTTTAACCGCTCATTCACACTGGAAGCGGATCCGCGTGCGCAAAGCGGTTGCGAACGCGGTTGTACTGGCGACGTGCGCGACCGAAAGCGTAGCTGTTGTCGGCCTTCCACGATTGGCCGAACGCTGACTATGACGTCAGAAAGGGTTTATCATGGACGGAAATAAGAGGAATGAAGGAACTTTAATTTTGACGGTGTTGGCGGTGTTCCTTTCAGAGCGCAGTGATCTCAAGCTTCCACTTCAAACACCATCGAACTTGTTGTTTGCAAGGTAATGACGTCACAAGGGGGAACAGCAGGAGGGCGCCACTAAAACATCTCGCCGCTAATAAAGATGCAGTACAATTGCACGCGCACTTGATGTCGTCGAGTGCGAATGCAATTGTACTAGATCTTTATACAACCGCGCTCGCAACCGCTTTGCGAACGCGGATCCGCTGCCAGTGTGAATGAGCGGTAATAGTGCGCAAGCCCGATGGGTTGTCACGGCACTGCTGAGGGCTCGGGCATTGCGCGAGAGCTACAGCTGCCTCGTGCAGGTGCCCAGTCTGTGTCTGCCCGTGGCACCAAGGGACAGAGCCGATTGTCAGAGAGGAAAACCTCGGCTCGTCGGTTTTTTCACAAAACTGGTCTCAGTAACGAAAAAAAACGACGACACACCGACCAGCACTGCTCCTTGACGCCACGGGCAGACACAGACTGGGCGCCTGCACGTGGCAGTTGTAACTTTCATTCAATGCCCGAGCCCTGAACAGAGCCTTCACAAGCCTGCGCAATACATGTGCGAAAGGCTCGATGACAGGTCAGCAGGGTGGTTTTTAGAGCGCAGCTCTTACCGCTCATTCACACTGGAGGCGGATCCGCGTTCGCAAAGCGGTTCCGAACGCGGTTGTATAAAGATCCCGTACAATGGCACGCGCACTCGATGACATCAATTGCGCGTGCAATTGTACTGGATCTTTATACAACCGCGTTCGCAACCACTTTGCGAACGCGGATCCGCCTCCAGTGTGAATGAGCGGTTAGGGGCCCGTTTCCGGCTTGAGCGGCGTCGGCGCCGCCGTCGCCGTCGGCGTAACCGCGAGGTCACGTGACCCCCTCAGGTCACGTGACACCCCTAGGTCACGTGACTCCTTTGAGGTCATGTGACCCCCTAAGGTCATGTGACCCCTTCAGGTCACGTGAGCCCCCGAGGTCACGTGCCACCTGAGGTCACGTGACCCCCTGAAGTCACGTGACCCCCTTGAGGTCACGTGACCTCAAGGAGTCACCTATCCCTCAGTACGCTTCCATCTTCCTCCTCAAAAGCTGCGCTCTAACCGGCGTTACTGGGAATTGTTAACGGCTTTCATTTTTTTGTTGAGGTTCACTTTATTGAACGCACATTTTTTATACATAGTCAAAAATAGACCCCAAGATTCTCCTGTCGATTACATTGCCGTGGTCATGCCGAAGCACCTTACCGAGGCCCTGGTTGCCTCTGTGCAGCATGCTGTTGTGCGTCGACTCAATGGCGTTCCAGAGCAGGGCCAGGGCTTCTCTTAGGTAGATGGGCCTCGGTGATGGTGAAATGAGCGCCTTCGTGATGCGCGGCATGATAATGCCGGAGCCAACCGAAGAGGCGTCTGTCCAGGCAGAGAACGGAAGTGGAGAGAGGCGGAGGTGATGAGTGTGATGAAGTGTGTCCAGACCATCTGGATGAAACGAATCCGGCGGACGTCTACCGCCATTTCTTGACTGATTGTGTCGAAAGGAGGTCGTAGGAGCAAGTAACACGATCCATATACGGACTGGTAAAAGGCCAGCTGCAGTGTAACCTTTCGGGAATGGCGCACACGGAGTGGACCTTCGAGGTAATTAAGAAGACGGCGGATGACCGTAAGGTGGGCAGGTGTGTGCCTGACTGTGTCACTCGCCGTGTCTATGGAGAACCCTAAAAATTCCAGATGTTGCGTGGCCGTGAGGTTGATGTCTTCTTCGTTGATGCGGAAGCCAGTTGTGGTGAGGTGCCGCAACTATGCAAGTCACCCGCGAGGCGAGGAACTCCATATCCGGGTGCGCAAAGAAAAAAAGTGTCAATATGCGCCCAGGTCCAGATGTCTGGAGCACGAGTCTCGCGAGCGACCGCTGTAGCAAGCAGTCGCATGTAAAAAGGCGCTAGGTAAATGACAAATGTCAACCGCGTAAGGGCTGAACTCCATGGGACGAATATGCAGCGTAAAAGCGACGAATTTTGCCCGGCGGCTTTTGCACTGCGCGTGGCATCAGCACAGTGGCTGCTACGTCACGCGCAAAGCGAGCGTGCGGTCGGGCGGCGTTCGTCAATTAAGGCCGGTTCTCACATGCAGCGAAGCGCTGATGTAGCGCTCCTCACGTGCCGTCAGCTACTTATCGTCTGCCATGAGCAACAGTTTTGACGGTGCGATACAAAGCTGGTGAACGCTCCCGTCAGCACGCGCTTAGCGCGAGGTAAGCGCTATGCTTGTAGCGCTCCGCTGCATGTGGGGGTATTCACACGAGGGAGAAATCCCGGGGATTTCTCCCCGACACGCGCACCCCACGACGAAAACGTCAGGCTTTGCGATGTGCAAAAGCCTCGCGTTTTCATCTCGTGATGCGCGCGTGCCGGGGAGAAATCCCCGGGATTTCTCCCTCGTGTGAATACCCCTTTATTCGTCACATAATTCGCTCCATGGTGTTCAGCCTTAGAGGGGTACTCCGCCGATTTTTCAGCTACCTCAACTAACTATATTTTCTGACTCGCCGGCCTTTACCCTTTCTGTCATGCTATTTAGTATCGTGAAATTCATAATAGTTATTGCGAAATCGGCAAATGAAAATGATGCAAAAACAAACATTCAAATATACCCGCCCTTTTCAGGGCCGTGACGTCAGTGGAAGGTAAGCTTGCTAGTCGGGCGAGCAGTCTAAAAAATAGAATATACCAATCATTTTTTCCGTGCTGGAGCGCGGGGACTGGAGCGAGCTTCCAAAGCATTCATTTGACACCATGAAACTGCTTCGAATCAGTTGGTAACAAATTCTACAGTCCAAAGGGTGAACCCCTGCACTTCCATTGACGTCACTTTTTCATTGTTGCCAGTAGAGACTTTCAGTGTGAAAAACACGGTGAGGACCAAAATTGTAAATTCAATAACTTCGTGAAAAAAAAATTATTTTGACCTAATATTTGGGAAACTATTTTGGCGATGTTGTTTGGCGAGTTTAGCAAAATTTCAAGCAAATCGGGGACCACGAAGAAATCGGCGGAGTACCCCTTTAAAGCGGTAATACTGCTTGCCGAGGCGTAAAGCTGTAAACTGTCTTGCGCGGGTGTAGCGAAATGGAATAGAAAGCCTCGCTCAAATTGAGCTTGTCAAGAAACGCGTGCTCTGGATAGGGGTTCCGGCGCAGAGCTTGAGGGAGCGACCACAGTCGGAACTTGAGAGCGGGCCAAAGGGGCTATTCACACGAGGGAGAAATCCCGGAGATTTCTCCCCGGCACGCGCGCATCGCGAGACGAAAACGCGAGGCTTTTGCACATCGCAAAGCCCGACGTTTTCGTCGCGGTATGCGCGTGCCGTGGAGAAATCCCTGGGATTTCTCCCTCGTGTGAATACCCCTTAAGCGCCGAGCAGTCGAGTATGAAGCGGGATTCTGATCTCAAATTGGGTACCAAAATACAGGGCTAAGGTGGAGGACACGGCAAGCATGCTCAATGACGCCGGAACGAAGCATGCTTTGAGCCGCGGCATCTATGATAGAGCGCTGTGACGATCGGCACTGTTCCTCGGCACCACGGGCAAACGCAGCATTAAACGTCAGTTGATGGTAGCGCTCTGTCCTGTTTCCCACTTCGACTTTCGCTTGTCGTGTTGCGCTATCTAATTCACAATTTCGGCAGGTGTCTCGGCCGAAATATGTTGCTAGAAACAATCCTTAGGCTGAAGCTCATTCTCAAGCTCAAGTGTGAAATTATTTTGAGAGGCCATCTGTGCAGAATATTGTTTTGCAAAAAAGGTGCCAGGAAAATAGATCTTCGGGATATATCCCTGGGGTATTTGGGATTAAAGGCATTCGTGAAAAGAAAAAAAAAACTGACAGCTATAGAATCTCGGGTTATTGTGCTATATGCAAATCAGATCGTCAACGTTTTTTGGCTTGTTAATATCATAAAGAATCTTTTCAGAAATCTTTGTTAACGCGTTTCATAAGATTTATATAGGCTACTTTTCGAGCAGTATAGAAACACGTGGTTACAAGAGCTGAATTGAAAGTCATTTGAATTCGCAGGTATGCATTTTAACGGTACACTTCACATAACGTTCGTTAAAGACCCCAGGCTAGCGGCTGTACTGCACTAGCTAAATTGCTCATCTATAGCTGGGAGACCCGTCGCCCGTTGAGGCAGACCAAGTTCGAGGCTGTATAAACATACACATAACCCATATTTTTTTCCACATAAATTTTGGGTCTTGTAAAAAATGCATGCCCCACCTAATTCAAAAGCTCCGTACCTCCTTCGTGGCAAACACTTACAAGCAAATACTATTTTGTATTACATTTCGATTTTTTTGGCACAATTGACAGTTTATTGAGCTTAATTTTAACATAAATATTCCCGATACCTTGTACGCTGGAACAAATATTCATTTTATTCGGAGATCAGCGAAAAACTGAGTTATAGCGGCGCACATCGCCTCCAAGTGCAATAGTGTGCTCACTACCACGTGACCCAGCACATTAAAATACCGTTGTACCTGGTGTGCTTGTCTATTTACACAGCGTATAATCATTGTCAACAAATAATCCGGGCAGAGCGGTCTGTCCCAGTATTAATATACAGAGCCCAGCTTCATATTTTTACTTGTGAGTCACAAAATATTTACTAAACAGAACTGTAATAATCCAATAATAATTATATGTTTTTCACGATAATTTCCTAATTGTTTCCCTAATTCTTTAATAATTCCCTAATTTGTGCATCTTAGGGAATCTTTGGACATATGTGGTACATATCCACTGACTTCCAGCTGTTTGTGGTATCTGTAATAGTCCTGCAGCTATTCAAAGGGTAAGTATTATAAATATTGTAATAAAAGCGTATTGTTACCCAGCAATATTTTTGTAATGGCAAGGGTGACTATGCATGGGAACTCAGATGACAAAGAGCCTAACAACGAACCAGCAACTAAGAATCGTGAAGGTACTAAGCGACCCCCTGCGTTCCTTGAGCTATTACTTAATATAAATGAGAATAGTGTAAAATGATGACGAAAACCTGCAAAACAAAACACGACGTCACACAGCCGCATACCGGTTAAAGAGGAAGCAGGGCTGTTTGGAGAAGGTTATGGAAGGGAAGCGGTCAGGGCAGGTTCGGAGGTTGGATAAAAAAATAGAAAGGCATTATTGCAGTCCAGACAGGGTGTAGAAACAGACACTGGAAAGCAGGTCTTGGCACGTTGTAGTAGAGTAGTAGTCCAAAGTTTTATATACAATAAACTTGAGTGCAGACACCACACCAGTGTGATCGTTCTTCGTTCATCGTTGACGATTAATCATTGCTTAGGCCCGCTTCAGACTTTCTTTCGTTCTTTCTCAGCAATTTTGTCGTTGCTGACGGGTTGTTCCCTAGCTTTCCCTAGATCGACACAAATTGGTGAGATTGGGTCCGGCTCGAAACAAGCGAGGAACATGGACCAACTCGAAGACGTTTGAAGGGGCAAGACCCAACCAGGGACGCGATATTTTCACGTGATACCCCGTGCCGGTAATGAGGACAACTAAAGACTTGTTTCAGGTTTAAGCCTGATTTTTTTTTTGAAATAAACCGTTTCAGAAAGATGAGATAGTATTCTCAACGCCATTTAAAGGTATAAAAACACAAGACGGTGGTGACTCATTAAACAGCGCTTACACAAAGCATGTAACTGCGTGTCTAAATAGTGAAAGAAAAAATGAAAGCCGTTTACAACTCCCTGTAACGCAGAATTAGAGCGCAGCCCTTGAGGAGGAGGAGGGAAGGGCACTGGGGGGGGGTCAAGTGACCTCGGGTGGCGGGGGGGGTCACGTGACAATGCTGATGACGTCATCAGTGACGTCACTGATGACGTCACTGGTGACGTCATCAGTGATGATGACGATGCAGATGCCGGTGACGTCAGTAATGACGTCATCAGTGATGATGACGATGACGATGCGGATGCCAGTGACGTCATCCGTGAATGACGTCAACGGGGGTCACCTGACCTCGGGGGGGGTCACGTGACCTTGGGAGGGGGGTCCCGTGACCTGGATAACCATCGTGACTCTCGTGAGGGTAACCCTAGTAACCCTCGTGAGGGTAACTCTCGTGACCCTCGTGAGGGTAACTCTCATAACCCTCGTGAGGGTAACTCCCATAACTCTCGTGATCCTCGTGAGGGTAACCCTTTTGAGGGTAACTAACCCTCGTAACCCTCGTGAGGGTTACGAGGGTAACCCTCGTGAGAGTAACCCTTGTAACCCTCGCAACCCTCACGAGGGTTACGAGGGTTACTCGCGGTTACGCCGACGCCGCTCAAGCCGGGAACGGGCGCCTGAGAGCTGCGCTCTAAAAGAAAATTTAATGATGGTGACGCAAGTTGCAGGAATTGGTTGCGGCGTGTGAAAGCGGGCGGCCCGTATAGCTCGTGTTGCGACGTCAAGTTGCTGGAAGAAATTGCCCATCTGAAGCAAGCCTTACGCAATTAACTGAATACAGTTTATTGATGAGCGAGTTTTGTCGTAAAAGTAATAAAATATATAATATTTATTTGGAGCACAATTCGACCTTCCATTAGAGCTTAAAACCATTTCATTGGTTATCAAACATTGGTCTGGTTCTTGGCGTTTAGATGATTTAGATTTTTGTTGCAGTTAAAAGATCACGATACTCTTTAAATGGTTGTCGCCACAAAATGATTATGCAACATTCATTAGAAAAGTAAGAAAATTAAAATTGTGGGAACACTCTAAATTAGACGATTGGGCATGACGCATCATTTCTATGAAGAGTTGCTACAACTCAAGCTCCCCTTTTTAATATTTTGAGACAGGTGACGACTTTTGAAAAGGAAATGCCGTTATGTGGTTATCTTAATGAAGCTCCAGCTAATTTGACTGAAGAGAGAAGTGACTCATTAAACAGCGCTTACACAAAGCATGTAATTATTGTCACAGTTCTTTTTACTTTCATTAATATCCTGATAGAGTTCAAGATGTACAAATTTCCTGGGATACCGTTTCCTCAGTTGCCATATCAGGATTCCGATTACCATCTTTTCTACCATGAAAATACAGTACAGGGTCGCCCGTGTCGAAAAGATGGAATAAAATCTCGAGTTCTGGTGTATAGAGGGAATGGCGACACAGCCGAAATCGTCAAATAAAGCAACACGCATATCTTTACTAGTAGTGTGACAACTAGGCGAAAAGGAACCGTTCAACGAAGCAATTACAAGATTAAAGAATGCACGGAATGCAGGGCTATTTTTCGAAGGTTTGAAACTTCGCTATTAAAGCCTACCGTTGACCATAAATGGTGTTTTTTGTTCTCTAGGGTAAACATTTCCAGATTACATTTATAATTCAAACTAATGATAAATAGGGATATGTTTTTTGCAGGAACATATATATTAGAAGAGAGAACCACACGTATAAAATCCGATCACTCTCTTGTCATACTAGAACTTGTTTTAGCTTAAGTCAAGACGGAGCCGATGCTACGAGCGTGAGCATGTGGCCTCGAACAGCGCTTGCACTGCACGAGCGCGCGTGCTTGGCAGGGACGCTGAAAGCCCGGAGCTCGCTCTTGTAGCTTCGGCTACACTCACACTTAAAGGGGCGATGCAACAATTTTTGTACTTTGCGGAAATACCGCTTAAAACGGATCCGTGGCGTTAATGGCCTATGAAACACGCGTTCGTTTTTCGCCCCACGCAATAAAAGTTCCAGAAAAAAAAAAAAAAAAAGAAAAACGAGCACCATTCACCCCCTCTACTCGGAGCAAGAACAAGCGGCCACGTGATCTGGAGCCGATTATATGCCGCCAATGTTGATCATAGCCACGCGCTGGGGTTGGCGAAGCACAGGACACGCGCTGAGTTCCAGACATTGTTATGGCTCGGCTTTTGTCGTCGTCGCAGCGATTGGACACGGGCCACTACCCGAATGCATGTCGAGGCATCGATTGTCACGAGCCTGCAGATCGAATGCGTACGCAGTCTTCACGTCCTTTGTGAGAGCAGCGTTTGAATATCGTCACCGCAAAGCTCGATGACGCATTCCTGGGGATCGTACTGTTGCCATTGTCCCCACAGCTCCGTCGTCGAATTTCGCGAAGGAGCAAAAGGCGGCTTTGGAAGGAGAGGCTGAAAGAAAAGCTCCGCTTTCATCCTTTGAATTCCGCCGTGACGAAGACGCTTCTTGGTCAGTGGTGTTGCGTTCGAGTATTCTTGGGTCCCACTAGTGCCAGGAAGCTGGTGTAAAGTAAGAAATATTCCTACCCAATGTTGTTGCACAGCCCCTTTAAAGTAAAAGTATAATCTGTTTGCTTTTTCTTATTTTTTTCGATAATTATGAGGGGATCATGCTGCCTAAAGATGTATTCTTTAAAAAGGTTCTATATAGTGTGTCAAATATTTCTCTTCGGCTTTTCCTTTATAGATGGCTCTTTTATTTTTTCAGTTGCTTCTGATCTTATATTGCAGTCTTCCTGATATATATATATATATATATATATATATATATATATATATATATATATATATATATATATATATGTGTGTGTATATATACAGGGTGTTTCAGAAAACGCAGGTCAAATCGCCCCTGCAAAAACTACTTATCACAACAACAAAAAAAAAGGCTTGTGGCGTTTTGGTCCTGGGCCAGGGGCCTATTTAATAAAATTATTAAAGTCCCGGATAATTAACTTGCTAATTATTTTTGCGTAATTAACTTTTTTAGTATTGTGCTTAAGGACATGGTTTAAATTAGAAAATTGTTCAGCATCATCGAGAACCACTAAATCAGCAAATTGCAGAACGATAGAAGGCACGCGAAGCTTTTTACTTCTTTCTGAAAAACCGCACAAATTCCACGCGTGTTTAAGTTTCGGTTTGTTATCAGAGCGCATCTCCGCCCCGACGACACCGCTGCCCGCGAAGAGATAGTGCAACCAACCTCTGCTGCGCTGTCATCGCGCGACGCAGCAGAGTCTGGTTGCACTATCTCTCCACGGGGCGCGGTGCTGCCGGGGCCGAGATGCGCTCCGATAACAAACCGAAACTTAAACACGCGTGGAATTTGTGCGGTTTTTCAGAGGGCCGTAAAATGCTTCGCGTGCCTTCTATCGTTCTGCAATCTGTTGGTTTAGTGGGTTTCGATGATGCTGAGCAATTTTCTAATTTAAACCATGCCCTTAAACACAATATTGAAAAAGTTAATTACGCAAAAATAATTAACAAGTTAATTATCCCGGACTTTAATAATTTTCTGAAATGGGCCCCTCGCCTAGGACCACAACGCCACAAGCCTTTTTCGTTGCGATGAGTAGTTTTCGCAGGAGCGATTTGGCCTGCGTTCTCTGAAACACCCTGTATAAATTACAGCTATGTTTTAATGAGTACGTCCTTTAACATTAATTTTTTACTAGCCCTGTTTAATCAATTTTATGTATATTTAGGTGATATTTAATTGATAGTTTGTGTAACCCAACGCCTGCCAAATTGCCTAACGGCGATTCAGCGTTTTGTTTTAGTATAAAACCTCTATGAGTTGCTTTCATGTCCTTGCAGGAAACCCAAGATAACTATAGGCATTTTCATTGGACTCTCACTAGCGAGCTGTTCATATAACGCCTGGCAACTGCATGGCACATCGTATATGCCCTACAACCTTCCAGTGGCCACCTCAGTTCAGTAAGTAACTAACTGCACATAGTATGAAGTAGCCCACTTTGCGTAAGGTAAGTATAGGGTGTATACATGGCGTCTATTTCGTTGGCCGAACCAAAAGAGTGTCAAGCACCAGCATTCAAACACAATTAAAAGAGAGACAATATATTCGTGCAAATATATTTGAAAACTAAGAAAATATCTCGATTGTGAAGACTGATAGAATACGATGAAACTAACGGCATTAACGCTGCACCTGATTCGCAGTTAGTATAGAGTGGAAATAAAATCTACATGCATGGACAAGTACATGACGAACAAGAAACAGCGCAAAAGACAAGGACGAAAAAGAAACAGGCACGACAACACACTATTCATTTTTTTTTTTTACTTATAACAAAGAAAGAAAACACAAAACGTACACATTCACACGCGAATTGTCCACCCCGATAGCGAATCACTGCGGCACGTGCTGACCCTTTATTTTCGTTTTAAGTTATACAGCTCGGTTTTTCCTTATCGAAAAGTAGAAAGCAAGCAGCACACCACACATTCAAAGGCGCAACTTCCTCCCATGATAGCTGCTCACTACGACGCGCGCTGGCCCTTCACTGTACTTTTTATGAAACTCCTATTGACTCCGTAAGTGTGACGTCATGGGTCCAAACAAACCGTTGCTAGGTCGTTGTTATGGACAAACACATGTGGCTAGGTTTCGCTACGAAAACCGGACCGTTTAAAAATCAAGAGTGTGATTTAAACTTCTAAAAATCACAGTCATAGAAAGCTTGAATGTCATATATCTTTCGACAGAAGTGTGCCGGTAATCGCTTGTTTCTGAAATACTTACGACTGCAACTTCCGGTCCTCAAGAAGCCTGCAGCAGACGACGAATGCGAGTAGTATGCCCTCTGCCACACGCCGGCCGGCCAAGATGACGCCGTCGTTTCAATCGTGTGAATAAAGACGATATTCTGATATTGGATTTGTTTGAAATATAATGAGTTTCAGAAACCTATAAGAATTCATAGCGGAATGCGATGCGACGCGATGCGACGCGATGCGATGCGATGGTGCTATGCGAGACGATTGTCTGTAAAACAATCGCATTGCACCCGTGAGAAAGGCACCTCAGGCGATCGGTTAAGAACCCAAATTTTGTTTGCGGACTCGCGCTATGGTGGGGTGTTTCGTACCTGTTTATAACCATCGCGCAGAAAAAGATTCTTGCAGTTTCTTTAGAATTTCGCAAGACCCCAAAGCGCGAAAGATCTGGATAAAAAACAAAAGGTGAGTACATGTAGCATTGACGGACAGTTACGATGCATTTTACAGATTGTACTCTCATCGCGGGTTCGATGGAGATCTTAACCAAAATAGCACACCACGAAATCTGATCTATACTAAACAAAATACCGCGAAATCGCGATAGACATGCAATTCTTTAATAACCTGACAACCTCAATAATAATAATAATAATATTATTATTAATAATAATAATAAACTACTTACCTCAACGGCGTGCGATCTTTTTCTCATGCTGAACTGCACTACGCCGGTAATGCAATCCAGGTCGTCGTCGTAACTGATCTGCATGACGTGGTTTGATTTTACGCCCTGTTCACCCCTCTGAACTAAGCCTGATTCTTCACAGAAAAAAAAAAAACGCACATTGCGGAAGCCTCCACGGCCATGGCGATGCACTTGTTTTTGTTGCTCGTTTACCGACGCAATTCAGTGAAGACGCCCGCTGCAACACAGGCCAGCATATTTATCGTGTTGTCTGCTACCAAAGCAAAGCGGAGTGTAATACTTCAGAAATGGCTTTCATCGTTGCAATACGACAAGAACTACTTCATAATTAGATATCAAGAAGTTAGGTTGCTTACAAAAATTATTTACATGTAGGCAAAAATCTAGCGTCATTTGGAGTCTCCATGCCATAGCAACGTGAATAGCAACATCCCTGGCAACGGTTTCTTTGGACCCAAACGCCATGTTGTGACGTAGTCACTTACGGGGTCAGTAGACAATTGCATACCTGGCGCCACGACTAGTGCCCCATATATCCAAACACATGCAGCGTGCACGTGATGATGGATTTGGCAAGCTTAAATTGCACTGGCTTTACCGCACGAGCGGAAACATGGCAGCGGCCAGATGCCTTGCTTGCAATCGTGTAAATGGGGCATTAATTAAACGCCATGATTGTCGCAGCTGTTCAGAGCGTATGAGTGAATGAGAAAGGGTATTTATTGAAAAAAGGGATACATAACGATCTCTTAATAAAGTCATCCAATCGTGACGGGGGAAGGGATTATGGGAAGGGTAGGGGGAGGAGGCTAAATGTAACAGGCGATCCCCGATGTGCGGACGAAACTAATCAGGGAATCGAGAATGTGTTTGCGGTGCGGGTGCTCAAGCCTGAGGCGGGTCCAGTCCTCGTACGTAGCTGGTCTTGCCTCTTCAGGAAGGGAGTTTATCCCTCCCCTTGCACGTTCAGGCGAGATGGATGCACCTGGCTGGAATCCCGCAGTGCATGCAGAGCGGATCAGGGCCGACGTCTTCGGGTGTGGACGGGCGGTGAAGCCTCGCCAGCCAGATGGGGGTAATTGCCGTCTTCGTTTGAAGCCTGCATATGCAGACCCGTTCCCACCTGCTGTAACCAGGAGGGACAGGGCCTTCATCGGGTGGGAGAAGGGCGCCGAGTCTGAGCTTCCTGGCAGCCCTCTCCTTTTTTTTATCTCTTCGAACGAGCTCATAGCTCATATTAATAAGCTGCTAAGACCGTCAATCTGGACGGTGTGAATTGCACGTTTCAAAATAACTCTGGAAGCTCGCCGTCAGCACGCACTCAGCAGTACGCACTCAGTTATGTCCCCTAGATGGCAGTCAATCAATGCTCCCTATAGGCATTTTTCGTTTCCTTTCTTACTCAGTAACGTAGTTTCCGTATCTGGTAGGTGGGACGGTATTTGGGACGAGAAAATAGCTACTCATTTCAACCTGGAGAATGCGACAAAATATACGTGAGGCAAAACAAGAATGTGTAAAAATCACACATTTTTGTGAGTACCTTCCAACGGCGCGGAGATATCAAAACGATGTTTTAACGGATACCACAAGTGACGACATTCAAGATGGCGGCGCCATCGTGGAAAAGGTGTATACGTAAAAAGGGAGCTGGAGTTTCTTGAAATAACAATGAAGACTCGGCACGTTCCGTAGTGAGCAGCTATTTTGGGTGCTAGATGCGCTTGTGAATGTGTGGTACGTTGCTTTTTTTTCTGTTTTATTTCTCATTTTTTCATGGGGGATCGGTGGCTGAGTGAGCTCTACTTTGTTTCACCTTAAGGTGCATCACCACCGTGCATGACGTTTTGGTGCTTTTTTGACGGCTTATAACTTTCTTTCTATATGTCTTACAATTATAAAGTAAATGTCAAATTAAAGAGCTGGTTTTAAACAATATTTTACTGTCTCAATATTACGATTATATTTAGTTGTTAGTTAATTATTCAGCTTTTAATAGACCACAGTCTCTTATATTGAAAAAATGATTTCTCGACTTATAACGTCCCATCGTCTACGATATTTTACGTGAGCGTTCGGTTGGATGTAATAAATTAAAAAAAGCAAGCAACGAACTGTTCAGATAATGTATACTTTAAAATAAAAAATGAAGTTTAAAATGGTATTATTTTATGGCGCTATAAAAACGAAATCACGTCAGCTAATCAAAATAACGAGACATTAAATTAGGAAGCATCCTTCGATATTACATTTTACGGAACTTCCATATTGATATATTGCACGTTAAGAATGTTATACGACCTCAAACTTTCCCATTCAGTTACGGCAAATTGTAGTTTCTTGAGATAAAGTGCAGATGGCGACACGTGTTCAAGAACAGCTTGATGTGCATTTTCCGTCGTGTGCCGCTTGAAACGCCACGTGAAAGACGGAAAAAGCGTCAGGTGTCCGGTTGTCAGATGCCTGGATGTCCGCAGTGAGCGAGCCAGAGATGTCCGAACAACAAGCGCGAGGCTGCGGGTGCACCACAGCTACTTTTGCGCGCTCTACTGTGCATCGGTACACATGCCCGACGCGATCTAAATGAAATGGGCGCCATCAAATTTCAGGTTCCGCCACATATGCGAAAACATTTTAATGTTTTTATCACTTGCAAAAATCATTTTCGCAATCAAACTATGCTTGTCGGGATGGTTTGACTATATTTTGTTTCAAAAACCACCTCGGTGACTCTGAAGTGGCAATGATATTAAAACAAAACACAAAACAATAAATCGTCTCAGCGTCTCTAAGTTAAAGCGCTGGCCCATTAATCCATATTTGTCGGGTTTAAATATCGGCCGAGGTGCCCACAATCCGACGGATGCCAATCTGATATTTCGGTTGCACGTCAGAAAGTATCCAGTTAGACAAAATAAACCCACATTTTTTTTTTTCATTTTGGCGTGTTAAATGATTTTTGTTGGTTTGGCTTGTGAAACCCTAAGATCTGAATATATGCTCTGTTTTACCTTAGTTTGAAGCGCAACCAACTCTACGGACTGATGAAGCCACTGAACCAGCGCCTGGAGCGCGAGGTCAAGCAGGGGGGCTATGTTGCGCTTTTTGCACTCCCAGGAGACTAGGGAGAAGGAAGTGACGTCAACAACGCAGCAGATGCAGATTGGATGTTGACTTTGTTTTCTTCTGTCAACATCCAATCTGCGTTTGCTCTAGTTGTTGACGTCACTTCCTTCTTCCAAGTCTCCTGGGAGTGCAAGGAGCGCAACATAGCACCCCTGCTCGTTTTCTTTCTGTGCCTATGCGGTCGGGGAGCCACTAAATAAGCTAGGCTTCATAGACATCTTGGTGCTTAAAATGATGGTTGTCAGTTATCTGAAGCTTTATCTGAAATCATAGGAAACGCTTTTCCGTACTCTACAAATGTTTAAACAGTTCGCGACAAAGCAAAGCAATATTACGTGAACTTTCTGACACCGAAACTAATACT